ACACACACACACACACATATATATATATATATGTATATGTAAATATTCTCTGACAGAGTGCATTTGTAGAGGAGATAAAATGAATAAAATAAGACAAGAGGAAAAACTATGCGTTTCGTCTTCTGAGGACTTTACCAATGCAAATGTAAAAGATTTATTTTGTTGCACGTATTTATAAACAAGAGCAAGGATGTCATTAGTTTATGAAGGCTTTATAATTTGAGAAATTTCACGAATATTCACCAGGCTGTATATAACACGCGTGCAAAGAAGAATTTTTCTACTTGTCTTTTTACTCATATATATATATATATATATATATATATATATATATATATATATATAAATATATAAATATAGATACTTAGACTCGTTTCGAAAACCCTCGAATTTTGATTTGCTAATAGTCCGTTCAGGTGAAACCTAGGTAGGTTTGTCTGGCTCTCTAGGTATATATATATATATATATATATATATATATATATATATATATATATATATATATATATGTGTGTGTGTGTGTGTGTGTGTGTGTGTGTTTCATGTAGACAATTTCCAAGGCTCATTTTGGGACAGTTTCAATTATTTGTCATAGCTTTATGTTCTTGTATAATAACATTTTTTCCCGACTCGTTAAGCTTCAAGGCTAACAATGAAACGTTATAAAAGTTTCAAATTTAGAGTGTCACCGGGGCAGACATGTAAAATCGGGCCAGTCGGGCCCAAAGCAGAGTGTATGTTAATCCTGTATATAAGATTATTCAAAATATAGACCCACCGAGTGTGATTAAATTTGCCTTTTTATTACTGAAGTTATAGATAAGATTATAAAGCCAATCCTATTTTTTTTTTAATTGGATGCAACGAGATCGGATATTTTAAATCCTTAATTCTTTTCCTCTTTCAGTCTACAGTTGCCAAAGGTAAGAATCGGGAAGTGATTCTTTATAAACAGGTGCGCCAGGCGGAACATGGTTGCCACACGTTACGTCGCAGTGTGACGTGTTTACAGAATCATTTACAGGAACTGCGTGAAAGGAACGAACGCTACATTCAACGACAAATAAAAGCCATGGACGACCAGGAGAGACAAATACAACAAAAAATACAGAAGGAAATGGCTCAATTGTCTAAGGTAAGCGACTGACGTTCATGACTCTCCACAGCTTTCTATCTTTTGCAGCTTTTAATAAATTTTGTTCTTTTTATCTCAAACCTTGCTCCACCATCCATTTACTCAACCTAGGTAGGCTACGCGTTGTTTTCCTCTCTCTGGCCTTCAATCCGCCCTGTGAGTATCAAATTTTCAAAACCCCCTTTCCTCATTATGTGCCCAAGTAATTTCAACTGCCTCTTACTGATGATATAAGTTTTCTTTTTGTTTCCATTTTCTCTAAAACTTCATTGTTGATTACATATTCGGTCCATGGTATTCTCAGCATCCTTCTGTAGAACCACATTTCTGTAGCTTCAAGTTTCTTCTTCATCTGTGAGGAGATTGTCTAGCATTCACTGTTACAGGTTTTTGTGTATAGTATGTATATAACTAGTGAGTTAGTCAAAATGACTTAATTCCCTTTATAGTCTACCAATAGAAGATTGACCAATCAGAAGCCGCAGAGCATTGTAGCCGTCGTGTATAAAGGCGGCCATCTTTGTTTACCCTACCGGAATGACCAGAGCCAACATGTCAGGCGAACATGACAGACGGAAGAACTACGCTCTGCTACTTTGCTGTGATATCTACTGCGAACCTGCACTACGCTTTCCTACTGTCTCCGAAATATTCACTGCCAACCTCTGGATTCTATACTCGAAGACGAACCGTCATGAAAATGTCTAACATTCACTGCCATATAGGAACACTGATATTACATAACAGTTCAGTACTCTTTTCTTTATTTATAACGATTTTTTTTAATACTTTGCTTATCATTTGGAAGGCATCTTTCGCTATCCCAAGCATCTTCCGATTTCAGTGTTGCACTTTCTGTCCTTTGTTAAACTTACCAGATTTTTAAATTATTCTACTTGTTTGATTTTGGTATCTCCAATTTATAATTTGCATGTTTGGCTGTTCCCTTTGCTAACAAACCATGCAATTCGTCTTCCTGTAATTTATAATTAGTCCTTTCATCGCGCTTTCTTTCACTACCTTCTTTCCGATACACCATCACAATCTCCGATAACACATCGTACCGTGCATCAGAATGTGCATTTCTTTGCGCATATAAATATGTATAGATGTATGTGTGTGCGGATGTATGTGTATTTACATGTAAATGCATGCATATAAGCACGCAAAAACATATGTATAGATATAAACATTGTGGACATCGAAATCAACACTGCAAAGTAACTGACAATTTTATGTCTTAAGCGATCAAACCACATCTTCTTTGTGCGGTCTTTATATATAGGCCTCTGGAGGCTTATGGTGTTGTGCAGAACAGGAAATAAGTTTTTTCTAGTTTTGTTTCGGGTTAATAGTTTTAGAATATTTATAGTCCTGACCTTCAGTTTGTTTATTTTATTTATAGATTTATCTGTTTTATTTATTGAACATTTTATTTGGTTCTAAATTGATATTTAAAATAAAGTTTACTAGTTTAAGTTTACGAGTTATCAGTGGTTTAGTCGTGTTTGTAGATAGCGTTGTAGGAATTTGATTTGTGTTTGCATTTCGAAATGATCTCTGATCTTTAATTTAAGAGTTTCTATTTCTCTGCAAGCTGGGTTTTTCGTATTTTCTCCTCTAGGCAAAGGTTACATGTTTTGAGATGGTTTTATAAGCTGGTGTAGTTTTTCATATTTTACTTCTTATTTTTGTTGTTTTGGTTTGTATTCTTTAGGCTCCACTTATAAGCCCTCAGCGGCCTGTATATATAAAGATGAGATACAAAGAGGATTGACGCATAGTCTGATGGTACCTAAAACTGCCAGTCACCATGGAGTACTGATTCCTCAATCTGTTTATGTCAGCAAAAGCTCTATCTTCGATATTGAGCACCTCTCCTCACAAATTTTTAAACAATATATATATATATATATATATATATATATATATATATATATATATATATATGGAGAGAGAGAGAGAGAGAGAGAGAGAGAGAGAGAGAGAGAGAGAGAGAAAGAGAGTACGAGGCAAAAAATGGATGCACACATAGAAAATCGAGTTTTGTTATTTTACCAAGACGAGTGAGTAAGTAATAGAATTTGTTTATTAATACAAGGTATTAATCATGTATACATATGTACATTATACAAGTCAAAAAATGATTTAGTATTTTGTTGGGTAAGGTTTTGCTTTAATAATTCCCAACTCTTCCAGTGACCTAATCAGAGTCCTGACCATAACCCAATTGAAAACCTTTGGGTGATAATGGACAAGTGTGGCTGTATTAGGAAAGTTAACTCAGAAGATGGTCTTTTTTTGGAAATTAAAGAAATGCTGGAAAAATCTGCTGATGGACATTGACTTACTAAAGAATTTAGTCTATAGCATGTCATGAAGAATTAAGGTCATTATTAAAGTAAAAGGTTACCTAACAAAATACTAAATCATTTTTCGACTTGTATAATGTACATATGTACTCCTGTATTAATAAATGAATTTATTACTCACTTGTCTTGATAAAATACAAAAATCGACTTTCTATGGGCGCGTCTGTATTTTTGTCTCGTACTATATATATATATATATATATATATATATATATATATATATATATATATATATATAAAGAAATAATCATACATAGAATCAATCAGCAATATTAATGCGATTAATGGCGAAATCACTTCACTAATATAACATAATGTATGTATTAAAATACTGTTAATCCATTGAATGATGTGATCCTCATTTATAAAACTGTTGTCAGATGTTTCTAGTGTATATTTTTTTAAGTTAAGCAAGTACTTTCGAAGATTCATTTCTCCATCGTCAGGCTGTAATTTTTTTCCTTTAAAGTTAAAACTTGAAGACGAAATAATTGTTTGTAGACCGAAAGATGTTTTTTTTAAGAATGTGTTATTTATTGACGGTTGTACAATCTCGGAACGTGCGAGTCGCAACGCTAAAGTTCAAAATTTCAAGTGACACCTATCTGATCACAGCTCCATTAGAACCCATTTAAACACACACATACATTTACCCGACTCCATTAGAAACATACTAGTAGAAAACACAAATATATTAACTGCATCCACCTGTAAAAAAAGACTAAAAATAATGGAAGCTTTAATAATAAAAAAAAGGCGAACAATATTAACTACGAACAAAGCCACAATGTGCTAATCGTATTCGGAAATTAAAAACATCCCTACCACACACTGATACATACACAGAACGCACATACGCAATTAAGCTGAAAATCGAATCATCCTCGATAATGGCTAAAGGTATAGCCGAAAGCGCTCGGAAATATAAAACATTTGGACAGTTCTTACACACCCTTTGTCCAGAAAAGAAAGCTCTTGTCAGAACACAAGAAAAATTAAATAAAAAGCTTAAATATAGTACCTCGTCTGTCGTTTTTAATGAAATATATATATATATATATATATATATATATATATATATATATATATATATATGCGTATGTGTCGAAATATATACGTCAGCATTTCTCTGTGCAGATAAAATTTCCCGGAAAATCCGCTGAAATCTAAGCAATATTTCTTTCCGACATTAAATAAATATAAAAGGCTGTTAAATATTTATTCGAACAAATCTGTGTCTATTGTGAGTGATGTGCGTTTGTAAACGTCAATGAATTTCAACGGTGTCTTTCAATTTTATTTCGACAACCATTTTAAATATCGAAACCGTGTGAAGGCTACGTTTGTGTGACAGTGAAATAACATTGGCGAAAAAAGAGGGAAGAGAAAGCGGGAAGGTACCGAAAGGAGGGGTGAAGGGAAGGTGCACAGAGGGGACATAAAGAGGAAAAGCTCTTCAGAGGAGGAGAAAGAGGGAAAGTAACCAAAAGGGCTCAAGAATGAGGTAGTGTGCCACGAGAGGGAGAGAACGAGGAAAAGTATCGAGAGAGGAAGAAAAAGAAAGAAGGGTGTCTAGAGAGGGAGAGAAAGAAAGAAAGGTGTCGAGCGGGAGAGAAAGAAAGAAAGGTGCCGAGAGGGGAAAGAAAGAAAGAAAGGTGCCGAGAGAGGGAGTGAAAGAAAGAAAGGTGTCTAGAGAGGGAGAGAAAGAAAGAAAGGTGCCGAGAGAGGGAGAGAAAGAAAGAAAGGTGCCGAGAGAGGGGAGAGAAAGAAAGAAAGGCGCCGAGAGAGGGAGAGAAAGAAAGAAAGGTGCTGAGAGAGGGGAGAGAATGAAAGAAAGGTGCTGAGAGAGGGAGAGAAAGAAAGGTGCTGAGAGAGGGAGAGAAAGAAAGGTGCTGAGAGAGGGAGTGAAAGAAAAGAAAGGTGTCTAGAGAGGAGAGAAAGAAAGAAAGGTGCCGAGAGAGGAGAGAAAGAAAGAAAGGTGCTGAGAGAGAGGAGAGAGAAAGAAAGAAAGGCGCTGAGAGAGGGAGAGAAAGAAAGCTTGGTGCTGAGAGAGAGGGAGAGAATGAACGAAAGGTGCCGAGAGAGGGAGAGAAAGAAAGAAAGAAAGAAAGAAAGAAAGAAAGAAAGAAAGAAAGAAAGAAAGGTGCCGAGAGGGGAGAGAAAGAAAGAAAGAAAGGTGCCGAGAGAGGGGTGTGAAAGAAAGAAAGGTGTCGGGAGAGGGGAGAGAAAGAAAGAAAGGTGCCGAATGAGGGAGAGAAAGAAAGAAAGCTGCTGAGAGACGGAGAGAAAAAAAGAAAGGTGCCGAGAGGGGAAAGAAAGAAAGAAAGAAAGAAAGAAAGAAAGAAAGAAAGAAAGGTGCCGAGAGAGGGAGAGAAAGAAAGAAAGGTGTCTAGAGAGGGAGAGAAAGAAAGAAGCTTCCAGGAGTGGATGGGGGAGAAAAACAAACAGAAATGTATGGAAGCATATAATCAAATCTTCGTTATGTAAAAAAAGAAGAAAATTAAACAAAGACGAAAACAAACGAAAGTTTTTTTTTATTTATTTCATCCTCTGTAGTTTGTGTGAATCAATAAAAGATTTTATTAATCATAAAATGTTATCTGTTGAATTTATGAGATGCAGACCCCACAACGTTTTTAGAAGGAGGAGTTTCGCAAGAAAAAACATATTTTTCGGGAGTTAAAAGACATCAAAGATTTCTTTTTTTGTGTACATTAAGAAAACTTTTTTTGCTTATTAACTTCATGGAGAAAAATGTTTGGCTATCAATTGAAATTTATACCCACGCCCATATTTTATTATGTATACATAAACACACGTATATCTACGTGTATATATTATATATATATATATATATATATATATATATATATATATATATATATATATATATATATATGTCTATTTGTATACGTATGTACAGTATATAGACGTATTTTAAAATACAGAGTGACCCAAAAATCACCTAAATAATTAAAAATATCATAACATGTCGGATTTTCATGCATTTTATTTCTTTTTTTTTTCAGATCTTCAATTAACGTAGGTAAATTAGCAATGGAAAAATTCACAAGAGTGAACCAAAATCCATTCAAATGGAAATGAGTTATGTCACCCATACTCAGCTAATCTTCATTAGCCACTCTCTGAACTAAGTGAACTTAGTAATTTAAGCATCGTTAATGCCATATGCAACTTCTATACAAATTGCACTTTGTAACGGTACAGGTGCAAATTGTCTTTTCGTATGCAATGCAATGACATCTTAGACATCTTCAAACTGCTCATAGTGTTTGTGCATAGACGTCTCTGAGTCTCGCGCTTCTTAACGATTCATCTACAAAATCGTCTATATGATTTTCCATACTGTTCCAAGACACCTATGGTGATATATTCGCTAAAAGTTTGAATCTATCACAAAATGATAAAATACAATGGTGATTTTCTGCAACTGGAAGTGCCAACGGTATTCTCTTTGGCTACAAAATGATCAATTCTTTAAATCGAAAATACAATCTCACGATTTTAGATCTTTGTTATATTGTGAAAAAGTAAATGTATAATAAATCTATAATTTTATGACATTTTTAAATACTGAGGTGACTTTTGGGACACCATATATATATATATATATATATATATATATATATATATATATATATATATATATATATATATTGAGAGAAAGAGAGAGAGAGAGAGAGAGTTACCTTTCTTGCCCGAAATAGTTATTTTTCGACATAATCTCCTCCCCTGTCAATGCACTTAATGTTTTCTCCATAAGCGTTTCGATCAAACGGAATACAATGAAAGATTAGAGTTAACTAATAATTGTGTAAGGTTACGTACTTACTGATCCATAATCATATATATATATATATATATATATATATATATATATATATATATATATAGTTTTAAGGTATACTATATTTATCGGTTAAAGTGCTCAATATCAGGGATAGAGCGTATGTAAATGTAAATGTGGACATTAAAGTCAAGACCTATGGCCTGACCATTCATGCTCGACTTTTTATACACAGATTAATAATGCACTGTGGGTAGTCTGTTTGCATTGTGGATAGTCTATTGTATTATTCTAACGGTTATTTTGGTGGGTGTGGTTTGCTAATCTGTTTATTATTATACTTAGTTTACTTATTTATTTGTTTGGATTAATAATTTGACTTGTTTATTTTATTTATTTTTATTTATTCTTGTTCGATTTCAATTTCCAATTTTTAAGTAAAATCTTTTTTTTTTACTTCTGGTGTCTGTATTTTGGGATGAGTTTTGATCGTTTATTTAGCAGTTTGTTTTGGTCTGGGAAGGTAATTATAGATATTTTTTCCTCCAGGCAGAGTTTACAGTTTTTGGATTGCTTGTTGTAGGCTGATGTTATTTTCTTTATTTTCCTTGATATTATTGGTGTGATTTTTTTTCTTTTTAATCTTTCAGATATGTTTAGAGATCATTGTGCTGTTCACGTATTTAATATTTTAAAGGGTGTTTTGTGCGTGTAGTTTCTTTATTTCCACGGTCCTTCAGTTATTATCATGTATATTTTTTCTTCATTATCTTCTGATTTGACAGTGGCTTTGTATATTAAATTGTTCTGTAAGCAATTGCCGTTTAAAGGACATTCATTCTTTATTCTGCAGTTACACGTGGATTTAATTCATTCAGGTGGTTTGTTGATTGCTGTCCTGTTATGATTTTTTATTATTTGTGTCATGTTCTTGGTACAACTGTAGCTGACTTGAATGTCTTGTGGAGAGTGCTTGATGCGGGGCAGTATGAGTTTAATGTATATTTTTCCTACGTTTGTTTTTACGTTTTAGTTCTGCGGTGGGTTGAGCCATATAACGTTTCTCTTTCTGCTTGCTTTTTTGTGCTGTGTGGTACGTATCTGAGGGTTGTCAAGAATTTACTATCTTTATGGCTATTTCATAGTCTTTCTTAGCTTCGTTGAATATGGTTTCACAGGATGAATTGTCAGAAATTCTGAGGTTAATTGATTGTAGTATCTGCTTGATTGATGGCGGATGATGGGAGGTGTGTATATATACAGTGGTTTATCACTGGGGTTTCTGTATGGTTGATATGTATCTTTTCTTAGGCTGAAGAAAATCTACTTCATTTAGGTTAGTTTTTATGTCTATGTCGAATCCCATATTTTTGAAAAACATTTATGATTGTTTTTCTAGTTTTGTCTGTGTTTTGTTTGTTAAAGTTTCTTAAGATTATGAGACCGTCGACTCTGTTTGAGTCCTATATGATTTCTAACGATTATTTTACTTAGTTCATGTAGCAAATATATACCTATGAGTTCGCAGGTTTTTGCACCGTCAAAGCTTCCCACTGTAGTGTCAAAGCATCCTTCTTTCCTTATGCATGCGTCTTCATTGTCGAATAGTAGCGATTTACGGGAGTGTCTAATGTTTTAAATTTCGTCTGTGTTTATTTTTATTTCTTCCTGGGCTAAGGTGATGGACTTATCTAGCATGGGTTTTGTTATATAAGGGTAGAATTCTTTCATGTCTAGTTGTATAAACAGGCAATTATGTTCGTTTTTAGGTTGTGGAACCAGTCTATAGCTATTTTTGTGCTTTTCCCCTGATTTAATCCTTCCTCGGCTCTGAATTAATTCTTTCTAGTAACGTTTTACTTATTTTACCTAACTCACTTTTCGTTGTATTTATGAGTCTGCATGTTGGGTTGGTTCTGAAATTTTCGATGCAATTTACTCGGTCGTCAAGATCTAATTTTTGGGCGATTATATTAGCTTCCTTATTGAATTCGTGTTCTGTTGTTTTTAGTGCTTTTTGTATGTTTTAGTTATGCTGTCCTTGGATAGCCTGTTGTGCCTAGGGGTCTTAGTTCGTACAAATTTTTAGTTATTTTCTGCTGCGATAAATATGTTAGTTGAATTGTTTATTTTAGTAATATCGTCTTTCAGTTTTTTTGGAAGTCATCTTGTTATTTATGGAATTTGATGTTTCTTACTAAGTTAGTCAAATCTTTCTTGAAGTCGTCTAGTTCATTTGTGTTGCAGGGGATATTTTTTTTATTTTAAAGCCATATTTTTCCTTGCGTGTGGCATTTGTGTTAACTTTTTGGTTTAAAAAGAAATGTGCTTTCCAACTCAACCTTTTTATGAAGCTTTCTATTTTTTCTATTAAATTTAGCTTTTTTTGTGATGTCAACGAACACTCGTTGCCGCTTTTGTAATGTCAGTGAATACTCGTTGCCACTTTCGTAATGCTCGTTGTAGTAGAGACTTTGTAATCACAGATACAACTATAGTAATGCCGTTGAACAATGCTGGTGTCAGACGCCTTCAAATAACACTCGCACTAATAGCACTTGCTCGATAATACTCGCTATATACAGGTCGAATAGTAACCATCGAATAGTAATCCGTATAATGATCAGTATAAAGAAATAGTATAGTGAATAGTATAGAGAATAGCGATCCATATCGAAATAGAGGATAGACTAGAAATAGTGATCAACTAGACGCCCCGCTAATTCCAATATATACATTTCCTCTAGATCACGTGATTTACTTATTCAAAATGGGATCGCCCGTGTTTGTTATCTGGTGATCTGTGTTCGAACCCAAGTGTCGGCAGCGACACTTTATTCCTATATAACAAGCTTGTAGGTAAACGATGATGGGGTGAGTATACACACAATGCCTGCGTATACACAATGACCTGTATATATAAAAAGTTGAGCAAAAATACATAGCACATGGCCTGACAATTGCGTTTAGCATGAACTAGACTGTCGCCTCTGGGTGTTGACTTCAATGTCCGCTTTCATATTTACATATGATCTATGCCTTATATCTACAGTATTTTAAAATCAAGGGTATTTTGTAGCCGTATTCCCCAATTTCAACGAAAACTTCTCTTGTTATAAATGTTTTCACATTTCATGTCATTATAATTTTTTGCCATATAGATAAGAGGCACTAAAGAAAAATCTTCTTTATTTTAACTTTACAGATTGGATGAGGTTCATGACCTTTTTTGAATAAACCCAGGCAACGCCGGGTAATGCTGCTAGTATGTCTCTCTCTCTCTCTCTCTCTCTCTATATATATATATATATATATATATATATATATATATATATATATAATTATTTAAAAAATATGATTCCAGCGCTACATAAGAGTTCTCATGTATCAAAACAAGAGCCGTTTTGAAATATTGGAATCATATTTTAAATAAATAATTATATTTATACTATACTTTTGTATCGAGCACTGTTTTTTAAAAATAATAACAAAAATACTAAAGAACATTGGATTATTTACCTAACGAGTTCTTGCCTATTTTCTATATATTTTTACACACACACACACACACACACACACACACACACACATATATATATATATATATATATATATATATATATATATATATATATAGAGAGAGAGAGAGAGAGAGAGAGAGAGAGAGAGAGTGAGAGAAAGAGTGAGAGAGAGAAAGAGAGAGAGAGTGACATAGATATCTGAAAGAAATATTATGGATGGAAGTGTGTGTGTGTGTGTTTTTTAGTTTCATTTGACCCCTTTAAGCGAAGTCCTTTTTGCATAATTATGCATTCATGTCCATACATTTTTCCTTGAACGTTAGAAAGAGGATGAAGGAGAGCGTGACTTTATAGGTTCCTCAATTGCTTCTCTGTTATCAATTTTAAACACACACTCATATACACCCCCATAAATCCCCCCCCGCCAGCTTCATCCACATGATCCTGCTGTGGCAACTGAGGTAGTTTCTTCTTTCCAACCAATACCAGCGTCGGCGGTGTTCAAGCCCCGATAATAATAAGGTTTCTAAAGGGTTGGCGCAACATAAACTGACTCCTTCTTATGCCTTTTATTTGACTGTGCCAGACTCTGTTTAAGTAATTTTACCTCAAGTAAGGCAATAAAGCCACTAAGGCACAAGGAGTTACTGAGTGTGAAAGAATATGAGAAAAAGAAAAAAAAACATTAAGAAGAGAGAACAAAAACGTCAGGAATGAAGAAGACAGAAGATAACGATTGACATTGCATTTAAATTTTTGAATATCAAAGTTAACCGGAAAGTTCCACAACTTCCTTTTCTTTATGATCTGGGAATTACCATGACTTCTTGGGAAATATAGTGGGATGGTTTCCCATTGCTTTCTTCCCTATTTTGAATTCGCGATTTCCTTCACTTAAACTGGTTGCCACCCAAGGTTAGAGAGTCTAGCCTACTTGCTATTTAATCCATAGCTTGGAGAGGGAAGAGAAGTGCATCTGTGTGAAAGTGAACGCAACAGACTTACCCGGAATTTGAACTCGGTTCTCCATTTCCACTGTCCGCTACACTATCCGTACATCCGCGGAAATGCCAATTTTAAAAATTAAAACCTCAACAAGAAGCATTATTGATATTTTCGAAGCTCACCTGATAACAACGCAAGATAAAGGCACACAAGCAGAGAAAGAGAGGGAGAGAGGGAGAGAGAGAGAGAGAGAGAGAGAGAGAGAAGATCGTGTTGCGCCAATTTTCCAAATAAGGAAATCCTGGTTTTTTTTTGGTTTTTTTTTAACAGCATTTAGCATTCTTGCTCTAACTTGGGTTCGATCACTAACCGCGATGGGAATTAGACAACGGCTTTATTCACGCGGAAGGTCAACAACTGTTATTATTAGCTTCAGAACTTCTATTCCTATTAGTGGACACATATTTAAAAAATTCGCAGCTAGGTAAGGAGGGTGTTCTATTTCACTCACCTGCCAGTCTGGACTTGCTAAAAAGCGATAACATTTAACAAGTCAACAACTTTGAGTAGTAAAGTATTTTATTTACATGTCGGGAGATTATAATATCATTTTTATTCTCTTATTATTTTTTAATGTATCCTTTTCATCCGTGCAATAAAATATCAAAAAAGCTTAATTTAAAGTTTCTCTTACTCCACAGGTGTGAGACATAACTGGGTCGTCAAGTGATTAGGACATTCTTCTGTGCTTATCATGACTCCCTTAGAAACAAGAGAGATATTTGCACTGAGCTGAGACGAAGCATTGCAATTTCGTTCCTGGTCTTTGCTTCGACTTTTCATCTTTTCTTCTTTCGACATGAATAACTGGCAATGTTCCATTGGATTGAACTTTGTCTTTGAAAATGAATCTCGTTTCTAGTTCTTTTCGATACTGAAATTTGTTTCGCACGAACATTATAAAGAAATGGATAGACATTGGCTTTAGGTGAACATTTAGAAAATGTAGGTTTTCTTCGCATTATCGGAGAGTCTTGTAGACTTTTGGAATATGAGCTTAAGAACATTATATACACAATGTCAGGTTTTATTAACACGTTGGCTGCCAAGCCTAATTGTCCCAGGATCTCAACACTATATCTTAATTAATTTTGCTACAAGGGACTTTACATTTTAACATTCTTTCTTATATATATATATATATATATATATATATATATATATATATTTATTAATGACATTTTTATGTTTAACGTTGTTTTTTATAGATACAAGTATTTAAGCAAATGCTATGTTTATGATAAACAGTATTAAATAAACAGAGCATTTGCTTAAATACTTGTATCTATAAAAAACAACGTTAAACATAAAAATGTCTTTAATAAATAAATTGTCGGACTTTGTCCATTTCTTAATATATATATATATATATATATATATATATATATATATATATATGTATGTATCCAAGTATATAATTGGTGTATACGGAATGAATTCCAATAACCAACAATTACTATTCTTAAAAGAGTGCTCAATACAGAGTAGAGCAGATATAATTATTTATTTAAAAAAAATAATTTATAACATAAATATGTTATAAAATCATTACAAAAATAGCCATTTTGTTTCAACATCTCCGGTGTCTTATCAAGTGATGATGTTGAATGTAAAATGGCTATTTTTGTAGTGATTTTATAACAGATTTATGTTATAAATTTTTTTTAAATAAAAATATATATATATATATATATATATATATATATATATATATATATATATATATGCATTTCACCCTAAGCAAGGCGAGAATGCCACTAACACGCAAGGGGTTACAGAGAGTGGGAGCAAGAGTAAAGAGGGTGTTTGAGGAAAGGATAAAGAGAAGGTCGGGAATCAGGATCAAGGCATTAAAAGATGTCGATTGACATTACATTTGAATATTTGAAGATTGTAATTATCAGGGAAGCAAGTAAGAGGAAAGAATTTTCGCTGTCGGGAAGTGCATGAAAACAAGGTGTTGGATTAGAAGAGGCGGTTACATTTAACTGTTTCGACAGTGAAAGGGTGGGGCCGAGATGCCACCCTAGTTGCTCGCTTAAATCCATGCAGTTAGGATACAAGTGAAAGTAGCTTGTTAGAGCAGTTGCCATGAAAATATTTGTAGAAAAGACAGAGGGAAGCCACATCACGTCTGTGAGAAAGTGACAGTAGACGAGATGCCAGGTCAGTATCTATCACATTGCATATAAGAGGCAAGGATATCATAGGTAGTATTTATTACCGGCGACCCACCGGTGTGTTGTTCGGTACCGGAGTCCATTTTAAAACTCACAGTCTCACACAACCCACACGAATGCATGGTACAACTCTATGTATGCAAAAATAAATGAATAAAAAAGAACAATAGTGGAAATTTCAAAAGGGAAGCGAAATAAATTATTTGGGGGGGGGAAGAAATGTTGTTCGGATGTAAGCAATCAATCATATCATCCCACTTGCAATAATCCTCATAGAAAAGAAGTTGAAAAGCGAGCGACCAGTAGGTTGTGTCGGCCTTGCAGACAAACCACCACGGCCCTTCGTTGGATCGTGTGAGAACCAACGAGTTAAGCAAGTCAATGTTTCCACAATAGATCTGGTATCAACCAATCAATTTTGTTAATATGTTCAGGATATACTTGCATATTTGAGCAAGATGTCACGTAAGATTTTGCTTAAAAAGTCTTTCCTCTTAAAACCGTTGATAATAACTTTTTCTGGCAACTTTCATTCATTATGCAAAGTGCAGCGTAGATTTTTATGTATAAATAAATTCAAAATATAGTCGGCTTCCGTTTACCTCACGAGACAAAGTTTGCGCCATATTTGGTCAAAATTCAGTGCTCTGCTGGTTAGACTGGAGCGAGCTGTCCAAGGCACTGTCCATGTAAAAGTCATGCACTGCCCAGATCACTTGTTCTCCCCGCCTCTCGACCGTGCCGACAAGACCCAAAGAAATAGATTGCATTACATATGAGGTCGGCTTGACTGCAGGAGTGGCCGGAAGTTTGTCAGACAACCTCTTGGGGGTTGGGGCATCACTCCAGATTTTCAATGTGGATTTAGTTCCATAGCCTTTTTCGTGTTTGGAAATAGCCACAAGGCCGTGGATGTTTAAAATTAGGTTTTCCTTCTCCTCGATGGACTGCTTTCACGAGCTGATGAGTTCTATCTACCCGAAAAATCCAAAATATATTGGTCATAGAAACAATATTTGATTAAAACAATGCCCTGTAGACTTGAATGAATTATTAATTTCACAAATTGATATGGAATCTTTGAAGCTATTGATCAGTATTTTATTTAAGGATTTTGTTAACATTTCCACTGTTTCGATTTTTACTTGAAGCTGTTTTTATTTCTTCCCAGAGATATTGTTTTCTATTCTCATATACATCTCTTTTAGAGATAGATTACAAATTTTCTACTGGATTAATATCTGGAGATGCTGTCGGGTCTTGCCATTAATTTTGTATCTTTAAAACTTTTGGAGGGTCAGGTGGGAAATAGCTTTACTGAATGTGATGTATTGTTTAGCATAAAGTTGTCCAACAACTTAAAATAATTGTTTGCATTTAGCCTGACACCATAATCAACCAAGAATTGATCTCTAATTTTTGTGCTTATATTATTAACCAAAAATAGATCTTTCTAATATAGCTCTACATTCATCATTAACAATTACTGTTCAGAAATGTCTTGACATATTCTCTGCTTAACCTACTCCATTTCTTTTTGTGATATTTACTTAAAAGTGGTAGTTTGGTTGTTTTCATGTCTCTAGCCCAAGTTCTTAAAATTCTGCATGTTTTCTCTCCATTTGTTTAAACAATTTCTTGCTGGTCAATTCATTTTGATGGCTGATTTTTCTATTTTTTTTTTTTCTCAAATATTTTTTGTGACATTCTTAAAGCCTGTTTTGTTTTTCTTATCTTACCAATATTTTCAATTTTTTTGATCTTTTTTCAATCTTTTCACAATTTCCAACATTGAATTCTCATCGTTGAATGACTTTATATCTTGTTTCTTTTTTGAAATAATATCTTTTATTAAAACCCATGGCAATTTTATATCTCTGAAGCAAAGAAGAAAAAAACAAAAAAACAAATATCAATGACTAAACAATTATGTATCAATGAAGTTGTGGCCTTGTTAGTGCCAGAATTAAAAACAGAAGAAAGGAATTGAGTTAAACAAATATATTAACAGAAACATTAATACAAAACATACAAACGAGAGTGTTACAGCAAGTCCGACTGTCAGAGCTGACTGCTAGTAACTTCCCTTTCCAAAAGGCAGTACCTGCTCCTATTTATAGCTGGGAAAGTCCATACATGCGTCGGTAAATTACCATAACATGTCTAAACAATTATATTTATATTTTTTAGCAAGTCTTGTTGAACAATACCGCCAAGGTTTATCTGCCTATTTTTTATTAAGTTTTTCCAACTTCCAACTAAGTTGTTTTGTAAAATTGGTAAACTTTGCAAAGTTCATTTTTTTTATTCCAACTACTTTCGACTGATGCAGTTGAGCACATGTCAAGTGTGCAGCTAGGAAAGAGAAAATCATTGATTCAGGAATTCATCAAATTTTTTCATGTGATGAATGTGGCAGAGTATGTTTCTCCAATGCAGGCTTTGTTAGTAAAATGAACATTATTATCCTTTCAGAGCATAATCAGTATTATGTTGGAATAACTTAAACCGCAAGGTGTGTCAAAAACCTGCTGAAACCGGTTCAGTCTCACCCGTCATATTAAAACCCAGGAGAAGGCTGAACGGATTTTACAAAACAGATCAGTCCCTAGACAAATCAATTTAGATTTCCACATCTACAATAAATATTTCATGTCAGTTGTAGGGTTTAAGAGAAGCAAAACCATTGATCAAACTTGTCATCGATGGTCATACTCAGCACCCATCATATATATACCGGGTGTAACAGTAAAATTGTCCAAATCGTGTAACTGCATATTTATCCACTCCACAAAATGTTTAATATCTAAAAAAACAATTGAATTTCTTTTCCAGGTTTTCAGATAAGACATTTAGACATCTTGACATCATTTTTTGTAAGAATCACTGAAAATCTCTTTGTTATTCAACTAAAAGGAGAGAAGGTTAAAATTGTTTTTGTATCTTCCCAACTGAGCAATGGCGTCGAAGAAAAAGATTATTCAGGTCATCAATAACGGTACCAACATTCATACACTGGCTTCCATCTTCAAAGTTCATTCAAGAACCATCAAGAGGACGGAATATGTTTAAAAAAGAGTGCACAGTAGAGAGGAAAACT